GGGCGTGCGTGGTTTTCCTTTACCCACGGCAGACCAGCTATGTAGAGCTGGGGCCGAAAAGACAGCAGGCCTAACTCCACCAGAGGCCTGGAATATCAACTACCCCCCCCCCCCTTTTTTTTTTAAAGATGACCGGTAAGGGGATCTCAACCCTTGGCTTGGTGTTGTCAGCACCACGCTCAGCCAGTGAGCAAACCGGCCATCCCATATATGGGATCCGAACCCGTTGCCTTGGTGTTATCAATACCGCACTCTACCGAGTGAGCCACAGGCCGGCCCTCAACTTCCCCCTTTGAATCTCGTTCTCTGGTCTACAAAATGGTCAGGGGAGTGAAGCCCTAGTTAAGCGATAAAGGTCTGGTGGCTGGACACACCCCTTCCTGATACCTGGCCTGGGCCCTGAGGAGCCTGGAAGAATGGGCTGACCAAGGTGCCAGGAGGTGGGGGCATGGTGCTAATGCCCAGTGTCACCTGCACCCAAGACCAAAGTCCTGCCCAATTTCCCCACCCAAGGGTCAGAGGTCCCTGGGCTTAGGCCTAGTCTTCTGGGAGGCTGAGGGTGACAAGCTAGGTCCCAGGAACTGGGCTTCTAAAAGGGCCCAAGGCAGGTGGCTGGGCCCTGGGCTCCGGGATGAGGGAGAGGTCAGAACCAAGCAGGCCAGGGCACCTGCAGGGAGGCCCTAGGCAGGGAAGGGCAAATTCCCCTGAGTCCAGCCCATTCTCCAGGGCCCTGACCCGTACTGATCCTTCTTCCTCCAGGGCTCCAGCCAGCCCCCACTCTGAGCTCCACTCAGGGGGACTCGAGCTGACCTGAGACAAGTCTGGCGCTACAGGGCAGTACCTCCCTCGTGCGCTCCCTCCCAGTCGGGTTCTGACAGTAGCTCCCGGGAGAATTCGAACCCGTGAAGGGGAGGTAAAGGAGGTGGGGGATGGGAGTGGACGCGGCGACGGCGGCGGCAAGAGAGGCTGGACGTGCGACCTCCACCCTCCTCCCTCCAGTGGACACTCGGACGCCCACCTCCTCCGGGGCTGCCCGGCACTCACCTCTCTCGGGCGCTGCAGTCCGGGCCACCTCGCCGCGGGCGGCATCAGCGGCCTGCGGGACGGTCCATGCGGCCAGGGGGGAGGGGAGGGGCGCAGGGGTCCCCAGGGGGTGCGGTACAAAGAGGGATGGGTGCAAAGAGAGGGGAGNAGCGATGGAGACTGGGCCTGGGCCCCTCGCAGCAGTAAGCATTCATTCATTCATTCATTCACAAACATTCTTTGCCACTGACAACGTGACAGGCCCTGTTCTGGGGTCAACTGGTAAGAGCAGTTCATTACTGTCAAGGAGTTCTCAGTTGGCTGGGAGCAGACTGACAGGCCAACCGACAGTCGCAAAGAAATAATTGATAAAAGTGGAGAGGTGGGCCGGCCCGTGGCTCACTCGGTAGAGTGTGGTGCTGATAACACCAAGGCCACGGGTTCGGATCCCATTTAGGATCGCCGGTTGGCTCACTGGCTGAGCGTGGTGCTGACAACACCAAGTCAAGGGTTAACATCCCCTTATCGGTCATCTTTAAAAAAAAAAAAAAGAAAGAAGAGGGATGGGATTTAAAAAAGGGGGGGGGGGGCCGGCCCGGGGCTCACTCGGGAGAGGGGGGTGCTGATAACACCAAGGCCCCGGGTTCGGATCCCATGTAGGGATGGCCGGTTTGCTCACTGGCTGAGCGTGGTGCTCTCAACACCAAGTCAAGGGTTAAGATCCCCTTACCAGTCATCTTTTTATAAAAAAAAATAAAATAAAAATAAAAAATATAAAAAGTAAAAATAAAAAGGGGGGGGGAGAGGTAGTGTACAAGGTGAACAGGAAGCAGAAAAGAAGGGAGGGCTAGTGGGAAGAATTCATAGAGCGGGACCCAGGCGGAGGGAACAGCATGCACAAAGGCAGGGAGGATGAGAGAGCTTCTGGGAACTATAAATAGCTTAGTACTGCTGCAGCTTGCAGTGTGGGTGGGGGAGAGTGGTGGGACATGGGTTCCTCCAAGCGGAAGGGGGCAAGAGAGATCCAAACAGCCTCATGGGGCTTTCCTGGACTTTATTTTCAGGTTGGAGGCAATAAGGAATTTGTCAGTAGCTGTGTGACCTTGGGCAAGTTCCTTAACCTCTCTGTGCTTTAGTTTCCCCATTTGGTAAAACGGGGAAATACTACCACCAATTTTTTTTTCTTTCCTTTTTTGTCTTTTTTACTGACCGATAACGGGATCGCAACCCTCGGTGTCGTGCCCGTACCGGGGACCGGCAACAGGATCGCAACCCTCGGTGTTGCGCCCACACCGCGCTCAGCCAGTGAGCGGGAACCGGTCTCCACATGGGATCCGAACCCTCAGCTGGAGCGCCGGCGGCGCACTCTCCAGTACGCCACCAGTCCGGACCATACCACCAACTTCTTAAGATTTTGTGGAAAGGAAATAAGTTAATATGTTTAAAGTGCTTAGTGTACAGTGGCTGGCACATGGTGAGCCCTTAATTAAGTATGGGCTGTTATTATATATCATTGTTAATGAGGAGCAGTGAGGTGATCTGCTCTGAGCTACAGAAGCAGTGTGGTCAGGCATTGGGGGGGGACAGCATGGGGATGCAATGATGAGGGGGCGACCAGAGACTTGAGTTTAGGCAGGAGATGTCACGACACTTTCTAGGGACTGGGCCCTGAAGGAAGGGTCAGGCATAGGTGGGTAGAGAGGAGGGGGCATTGTTGGATGGGGGAAGTTGGGTTCAAATCTCAGAGTTAATTCTTGGCTGGGCCACTTACTAGCTGTGTGACCTACGGTTGGTTACCTAAGGTCTCTGAGCTCAGTTTCCTCTTTTGTAAAATCAGGCTCAGAATACACCTCCCGCATGAGAGATGGTGCAGATTCGACAAGATAGCAGCCTGGGGATGAGAGGGTGCTCTCATAGATGGTTTCCCTTTCTTTCCTCTGAGGTCAAGATTGAATGATAATATGGGGCCGGATGGGGGCCACCTCTAAGTCAAAAGGAAGGCACTTCAGCAGCTCTGCAAAGGCTTCTGGAAGGGAGAAATTGACATCTCCTCCCCTCCCCTGGCTGAATTGGTTGGCAGAATGGGAAAAAAAGGACTGTAGGGTTTTTTTGGGAAAATACTCTAATCCCCTGTTCCAGATTAGTCACCAACCCATCTTTCTTTAACCCCAAATCCACCTGATTTTTTTTTTTTTTTTGGCGGCTGGCTGTTACAGGGATTGAATGCACTTGCTTCTTTTCCAAATGTGCTGTAGCCCAGCATGTGAACTTTGGAGTCAAATAGACCTGTATTTGAATCTTGGCTCCACTTCTTCTCAGCACAGTGATAAATTTTTTAACCTTCCTGACCCCCAGGCACTGGGGATAAAACCATGAACAAATCAATAAAGGGCTCCAGCCTGCAGAACTATCCTCTAGTGGAGGAATCAATTAACTTCCAATCTCATCATTTATTCATTCATCCACTCACTTAACAAATACTTACTGAGCACCTACTAAGCGCCAGGCGTTGTTCTGGCTGCTGGAGATGGATTGAGCAAGACCGCCATGGTTCTTGCTCAAGAGGATAAATAAATAACGACACGACCAGACACTGTGGTACAAAGACGATTAGTGGTCAATGGACTGGGGGAGATGGCTGTCAGCTGCCAGATCCCAAGAAGAGACTGAACCAGTGTTGGAGGAGTGGGAGAGGGTGTGCCAAGTGGAGGGTACAGGATGGTTAAAGACACTGAGGCTCAGGGGCCACCCATGGCTCACTTGGAAGAGCGTGGTGCTGACAACACCAAGTCAAGGGTTAAGATCCCCT